TTGTAAATAATGGACAATAATGTCTTAGTAGATGTCACTGTATGAAAACAAACGTCGAGGATGCGAAATATATTTCTTCGAGTCAGCGCATGACTTTGAACCAGTGTTTCCATTTGCGTTCGTTCGGAAGGTTCTTCTGAAAAGCAACTTAGTCGTAATTTTTGCGAATATAATTTTAGTGTTTCAAAATCGCATATTGTATAGTAAGAGAAGTTTCACGGGATTTCTCTAAAGTCAGTAAACAGTAAAACAGTTTTGTGTAAAAGTAATTATATATATAAACTCATCATGTCAACCAAGCGCGTAACTAACAATAAAGCTTCTAGGAAACGTCTCACAATAGAAGAGAAACTTCAAATTTTGAAGAAATTTGATGGTGGCATTTCAGTGAAAAACATTGCCACTTGTTTTAATCTACCTTATATTACTGTATATCACATAGTGAAGAAAAGTGATAAAATACGCGAATCAATGAATAAAGGAATGAGCATGAAAAGAAAGTATGTAATATCTAAATCAAAATTTCAAGAATTGGACAAACAATTACATGAATGGTGTAAAGAGAACGTACCGGGAAATGTAATTGACTACCAGCAATGTGAAAAGCTTTTCAGGAAGCATATAATATCGCAAAAAGAGTTGGGAAATTACCAAATAATATGAGTGCTTTTATTCGAGATTTTAAAAAACGTTACGACATTAAAGTAAAGTCTAAAAATTCTGTTCCAATTTTGAACGAAAAATTGTATAAATGGTATGAAGAGCAAAAGCATCAGGAGACACAATTGACTCGGAGCAACTTCGTATGGAAGCATGTAACATTGCAAAAGATGTTGCTGGACCGTCAAACATGAGTAAGTTTCTGCAAAATTTAAAAAACGTCACGGAATTAAACAACGTAGATACAAAAGTAGGAAAATTTTGCAAAATTCTTTTCAAAGAGATGATGAGGCCGATCAGTCTAACGCTGAACAATTTGTTGAAAAATTCAGACAGCGATTAGAGCAGGAAAATATTAGTAAAGATAACATTTATATTATGATCAAAACAGACTTCGTATGTAGTACTTTTGTTGACACCTTGCTAGCACACGCAGCCGAAGACAAAATCCCAGTGCAACAAATTGATGATATGAAAAAGAAGATTGTATCTTTTGTATTTTGCACAAATATTACTACTAATATGAAACGAGCTCATATTCTGTCTGACGAACATGAAATTAATGAATATGAGAATCAAAGTGTATCAGAATCTTACGAGAACAAATTGCTCGTCGCTCATAAACTACAAGAAAATGTCTCAGCAGAAAATCTGGAGAAAGAATCGAATAGTTTCGCACTTTTTTGGGATAATATATGGTACAATAATGTATTTAAGCCAAATGTGACGTTATATAAGGAGAAGAATATAGCTGGCAAAATGCTTTTACTTGTTGACGATTGCACACGACGCATATTCTCGAAAAAAATTACTCACGATGATGGTTTCGAAGTAGTATTCTTTCCGATAAACTTGTTTTGGGAACAATTCTGCTCAGATGTTATAAAGAAAATGGACCAAATATGTCATGAATGCTTATTGAAATGTGTACAGAAGAAAAATTTTATTTTTAAAACTATTTTCAATACAGAAAATTATATAGATTGGTGTACTGATATACTCTCTATAGCATTGGCAAACGTCGCGCCGGGGGAAATAGAAGAATTGTGGAGACGATTTTTAAGACAAGATTGTTAAACACAAGAAGGTATTCCAACATTAACTTCTGTCACTTCACAATAGTTAATTAAGTCTACAAAAAAAGTTATCGTTCCTGACGAAGACCGATTGCTTATTCCTTGCGCAGAAGGCGATAGAGAAGAATATCACCAACAAGAAAGAACTATTGAAGACAGTAAAAACAAATAAAAACAGAAAAGGAAGACACTCAGAAATATCTCTTGGCAATTTAGAATAGATAGTTAATAATAGCTGAAGAAGATTTCATATAGACGACTTCAAATGAAATATTAAACAAAATACTTAGTTCTGGTGGAAGAATTCGAAGAAGAGGAACTTTAAGTATTGCAGAAACATTCGTATTTTTGTATATAAAGTTCGCATTATTATTATTATTACGATGTTCACTTATCAAGACGTGCATACAATTTTATGTAGCTAAGGAAATAAGTTACATTTCTCATAATTTATATATTCGTTGACAAACTTTTTGAAATTGATTAAAATAAAATTGTCTACATCCGACATGTCAATAACCAGCTGCAAAGAAATACTAGTTAACAGCATTTCGTTCGGTTCGAAATGTTACAGGTGCGAACAAAAGAGACGCGGGAGTAAAGAATTTTTTTGTTTCACTGCAATATTAATAATTGGTGCAATTTTTATTGATGTGAAATACGCTATATTTCCACGTTTGTTTCTACGTCCCTCTGTAAACAAAGTTGAATTAATTTAATTACATGTAACTGTAAAAAAGGAATAGAATTAGATTCAAGTAAACATTAAAAATTTTATTTGAAATTAAATTTATATCTTTTAGCAATCAATAAATTTTTATTTTTTTGCGTAATAAAAATTATTTTATTAAATTAACTCTAATTTTTATGTTAATAAAGATTCATTTAGCTCGTGTGTGTGGGGGGGGGGGTTCGATAACTTTATTTGTCATTTTATATATCATGTTATTGTAAATAATGGACAATAATGTCTTAGTAGATGTCACTGTATGAAAACAAACGTCGGGGATGCGAAATATATTTCTTCGAGTCAGCGCATGACTTTGAACCAGTGTTTCCATTTGCGTTCGTTCGGAAGGTTCTTCTGAAAAGCAACTTAGTCGTAATTTTTGCGAATATAATTTTAGTGTTTCAAAATCGCATATTGTATAGTAAGAGAAGTTTCACGGGATTTCTCTAAAGTCAGTAAACAGTAAAACAGTTTTGTGTAAAAGTAATTTTATATATAAACTCATCATGTCAACCAAGCGCGTAACTAACAATAAAGCTTGTAAAAAAATTACAATGGAAGAGAAACTTCAAATTTTGGAGAAATTTGATGGTGGCATTTCAGTGAAAAACATTGCCACTTGTTTTAATCTACCTTATATTACTGTATATCAGATAGTGAAGAAAAGTGATAAAATACGCGAATCAATGAATAAAGGAATGAGCATGAAAAGAAAGTCTGTAATATCTCAAGCAAATTTTAAATATTATAAATTGGACAAACAATTACATGAATGGTGTAAAGAGAACATACCGGGAAATGTAATTGACTACCAGCAATGTAAAAAGCTCAAGCAGGAAGCATATAACATCGCAAAAAGGGTTAAGGAATTACCAAACCAAATGAATTCTTTCATGTACGATTTTAGAAAACGTTACGACATTAAAGTAAAGTTTAAAAATTCTGTTCCAATTTTGACAAAAAATTGTATAAATGGTATGAAGAGCGGAAAGCATCAGGAGACACAATTGACTCGAAACAACTTCGTATGGAAGCATGTAACATTGCAAAAGATGTTGATGGACCGTCAAACATGAGTAAGTTTCTGTCGAATTTTAAAAAACGTCACGGAATTGAACAACGTAGATACAAAGGTAGGAAAATTTTGCAAAATTCTTTTCAAAGAGATGATGAGGCCGATCAGTCTAACGCTGAACAATTTGTTGAAAAATTCAGACAGCGATTAGAGCAGGAAAATATTAGTAAAGATAACATTTATATTATGATCAAAACAGACTTCGTATGTAGTACTTTTGTTGACACCTTGCTAGCACACGCAGCCGAAGACAAAATCCCAGTGCAACAAATTGATGATATGAAAAAGAAGATTGTATCTTTTGTATTTTGCACAAATATTACTACTAATACAAAACGAGCTCATATTCTGTTTGACAAACCTGAAATTAATGAATATGAGAATCAAAGTGTATCAGAATCTTACGAGAACAAATTGTTCGTCGCTCATAAACTACAAGAAAATGTCTCAGCAGAAAATCTGGAGAAAGAATCGAATAGTTTCGCACTTTTTTGGGATAATATATGGTACAATAATGTATTTAAGCCAAATGTGACGTTTTATAAGGAGAAAAATATAGCTGGAAAAGTGCTTTTACTTGTTGACGATTGCACACGGCGTTTATTTTCGGAAAAAATTACTCACGATGATGGTTTCGAAGTAGTATTCTTTCCGATAAACTTGTTTTGGGAACAATTCTGCTCAGATGTTATAAAGAAAATGGACCAAATATGTCATGAATGCTTATTGAAATGTGTACAGGAGAAAAATTTTATTTTTAAAACTATTTTCAATACAGAAAATTATCTAGATTGGTGTTCTGAAATACTTTATATAGCATTGGCACACGTCGCGCCGGGGGAAATAGAAGAATTGTGGAGACGATTTTTAAGACAAGATTGTTAAACACAAGGAGGTATTCCAAAATTAACTTCTGTCACTTCACAATAGTTAATTAAGTCTACAAAAAAAGTTATCGTTCCTGACGAAAGACCGATTGCTTATTCCTTGCGCAGAAGGCGATAGAGAAGAATATCACCAACAAGAAAGAACTATTGAAGACAGTAAAAACAAATAAAAACAGAAAAGGATGACACTCAGAAATATCTCTTGGCAATTTAGAATAGATAGTTAATAATAGCTGAAGAAGATTTCATATAGACGATTTCAAATGAAATATTAAACAAAATACTTAGTTCTGGTGGAAGAATTCGAAGAAGAGGAACTTTAAGTATTGCAGAAACATTCGTATTTTTGTATATAAAGTTCGCATTATTATTATTATTACGATGTTCACTTATCAAGACGTGCATACAATTTTATGTAGCTAAGGAAATAAGTTACATTTCTCATAATTTATATATTCGTTGACAAACTTTTTGAAATTGATTAAAATAAAATTGTCTACATCCGACATGTCAATAACCAGCTGCAAAGAAATACTAGTTAACAGCATTTCGTTCGGTTCGAAATGTTACAGGTGCGAACAAAAGAGACGCGGGAGTGACGAGCCCCTTGGACCTCTCGAGTCCCGGGGGTTTTGCGCCTCGCAAACGGCAAAGGCCGGAAACCAGGAGATCCGAAAGCGTGTCTCCCAAGCCGAAACCTACCGCGAGACCAATCACACCTCCGCCAGTCAGGTGTCCGACGCTCTATGCCCACATGCCATGCGGCGACGGACAAGCCGTGAATCGCTGGACCATTGAGGATGTCGTCAATTACGTCTCGTCGATTGACATCTGCGCCGAGTACGCACAGGTAAGTCGAGACAAATTTTTTTTACCGCGACGCGATTTTTCCGCGAGAAAGGTGATGCATGTACGTCATTGTTCGTGTACGCAATCAGGCGTATCGAAGAAATTCTAATGGCGCAAGAGATTGTGCAGTTGACTCTCGATTTTTGTTGAAAGCAACTATTTTTCTGTAGATTTCTTCGCGATAATTTTTCGTTCGACAAATATTTCTATAAATTTTGAAGAAGGGAGATTAAAACATTAATATCACGATCAACCTTAAAAATAATTTATAGCGATTACACAATACTTTCTTATTCATTAAAGTAAAAAAAAAAAATATATATATATATTTCAATCGCCACATATGAAGTTGCGCATTGGATAATAAGTGCCTACTATTTTTAATTGCTTTTGAAAGTCAACCCCGTAATGACGCGCGCGTTGCGGTCCGTCGCGCAATATCTTCTCGACTTTAGTGAGGCAGCAAAGCGATCTAGAAGGCTTTGAATGACCTGACATCAGTCAATCCAGACAGTCTGACATTAGCGAGTAGGGAGAGACTACGAGCGAACTATGAGAGTTCTATAATGACCCCTCGAAGCTAACATCGACCCTCCACCCCCTCTCTAGTTTATAGCATCTATACTTTCTCCTCTCGTTCTGTCTCTGTTTCTTTTCTCTTTTTATTTCTTCATCATTTCAAGGCAAAGTGCGCTCGCAGACATGCTATTGTCATTTCCAAGCACTCGCAATTTTTACGAGCCATTTAACCTTCTCCATCTTCGCGAAAATTGTGAACGGGGCGGTTGATTTTCGGGTGTCCATTGAAATTATATTCGCGGTCATATTCATCCGTACCGTTCGATTTAAACGTTTCCGTTCGTTTTTCTCTACCTAGAAGCGTGTAATTTCGCTAGACAGGAACGACCTTTCGTCGTAAAACTGGGGCGCGGTCCACTTTCTCGACCCCGTCCTTACTCGCGATCGTCGAGAACCTACAACTGCACGATGAATGGTTTCATAATTCGCGATAAAACGGAAAGATGTAATTACCGAGCTGCTGCCTGGTAGACGCAAATTGATTAATTATAGATAACCTGACACGCTTATCTCGCACGTACACGATACGATCTTCTACTTTGCGAATCGGCGGTGTAACGGAGCGGGTCTCTCGAATCGCGCCACTCCTCGCCGACTTCGTGACAGAAGTTATTCCTCCGGCTGTCACATCGTTCACTCACACCTGACAGAGAGCAAGAACCATGACTTCACCGCGGTAGAAAAATTCCTCATCCGTGTCACGAGAGTCGCAATTTCCTCTCACTTCACTTTGAAATTATTTCGCAATGAGAAATCGGAATTTGATATATATAACGCGACGCTTTGACATATATTAAAAATAATAATTAACATGTTTTATTGCAGATTCGATCGTATTATAATTGAATCACATCGCGAGAATAATGTCATGAAAACTGAATAATTAATGCGGCAATTTGTGCGTTTGTCTGTTAATTAATGCCCGGTTTAATGCGAATGCAAGTATAACGATCACGCGAATACGCAATATTGGATCGTTAAAATACGTAAAAGTGAAATCTAAATAAATCGTTTAAGGTTTATAAAGTAGAACTGTAATATTCTAAGAATTGAAAATTATGTTTTTTATTATAATTATACGTAATGAGGAATGCAGTACCTAGGAGTTTCAAAATTTATGGAATGCTTAAAAATTATATTTGAAGAATTTAAATTCTCTGCTCGGAGGTACAACAGATGATATCAAACTTCAGAGGATGGCATGCAAAAAATTCGAGGTGCTTACTTCTTTTTTTATTTTATATTAGATATGTGTTCTTTGTAGGATATCATTGTGTGCATATATTTAAAGTGAATATTTATTATTATATTTTCTTTTATTCTGTGTATCTGTATGTGTACATGTATATATAAATATATCAGTTCAGTGGTACTCGTTTTTTGATAGCCAGTAGATCTAAATAGTTGCTGATTAATTTAAGTATACTAATTTCATTTGAAGTTATTTTACTTTTTTATTCTATCATTGAATTCGACAGTTTTTTTAAATGTTGAAGCAAAAATAATATTGTATACAATTTCTTTATAAATAATAGGTAACTTTTGATTTAGAATTAAAATACATAACGAGTAATGTATTTATTGTTATTAAAATATATTCGAGCAGCTTATAAAATTTTAGCTGATTTTCGTAGAAAAGTATAATAATAAGTAAATACATTTATTATATAATTATATTATATTAGTTTTTATAATATTGATATCACGAAATATAGCAAACTTAAAAATTGAAACTTAAGATTTCTTTATTAGTATCTGTATCTGTTTCTTCATTCTCTTTCTAATTATTTCTATTGATGAAGTATATTACCATCCGGTTAAAGGTTTTCCAAATGAAGATATGATACACTAATAAATCTTACAAGGCCGTCTACGTGCCCGTGAAGTATTGAGAAAACGGCATCGATCAGTTTTCTTATCTAGATTTTGCGGTTTGACATCTAAGGCAATATTGATCGATATTATCTCGTTATGTATATCTTCTCTTTTAATTTGTCTCGTTACTCCACTTTTTACTCGTTTTTGCGGTGGTTCAGTTTGTTATTCTGCTAAAGGAAATATTTTCTCAAATTTTTTTAAAGAACTAGCTAATTGAAGAGAGGGGTTTACGTTCATTTATCCACTCGTAGAAGATATGATTTTAGAGTGAGGAGTCTTCTCCATAAACCGGCAGATCTCGCGATTTTTCTACGCGAGTCAGCGGTTTTCAGCTTTTGGCGATAGGTGTTAGGTAAAAAAATCTGCAGACATATAGACATGTTAGATAAATGTGTAGGCGTATCTTTTATACTGAACTGTAGCCGTATCTTTTATCGAATATCGAATCGATCAATTAATTATTGATTATTGAAATGTAGGAATGCAGGAGAAGGCCGGATGAATTTAGTTGAATCAGGAAAAGAAGTCAGGTTCGGAAGATATATATATATATGTATTTATTGCGAGTCGAAAACGTCTTCGCTGTCCAAGTCCCGTTTCTATTCTATCTTCCTTCCTGCCGCCTCGATATTAAAGATCTTCTGCCGGTTCGTGAGAGAATGCGTGCTTGTATCTCGATGAAACGCTCCGAAGATGATGTTCTCAACGATGTCCTCGTTACTCAAAATCGCCGGTACTTATACCGCTCCTAATTTTATCCCTTCCCGTCAGGCTCGGGCCAATCGCTAAGCGACAGCTAAACTTTACTCGGATTTTGTTATTCGAACGGTCGCGTCTGTTATTTTCTAAGCCGATCGCTTTCTCTCACTGTCGCACACGGTATAATAAATACAAATAATCAAACCCGAGGACAAAACGACAAGACGCACTCGACAATAACGTGACAACGCGACACGTACAATACATTCTGAAAAATAATAATGATCGCACGCTTACAAATGCATTAATTTTTTTAAGTCGCTTTTTCAACGTCGATTGATTTTGCTTTAATTTTTCTTTCTTTTCTAATCAAATTGAAAAGTCAACATCCTTAATAAATGTTACTAAAAGGCGTTAAAATAATAGAAGAGCGATTATTTTGTTGTTATCATGAATGTTTTTCGTACTATACCGCTTAAAAATTTTACCTATTAATATATTTATTCTGCGTTTTGGGTAAATCATTTAATCAGACTACGATATTAATTTGTGATCAGAGGCTGCATTAATTTGCACATTTTCCGTTTGTATCATAATAATACTTATCTAGGTACATGTAAGTATTTATATGTGTACGACTAACTATAGTGAAGAATTTTTTTGTTTCACTGCAATATTAATAATTGGTGCAATTTTTATTGATGTTAAATACGCTATATTTCCACGTTTCTTTCTACGTCCCTCTGTAAACAAAGTTGGATTAATTATAATACATGTAACTATAAAAAAAGGAATAGAATTAGATTTATGTAAACATTAAAAGATTTTATTTGGAATTAAATTTATATTTCTTAACAATCAATAAATTTTAATTTGTTTGCATAATAGAAATTATTTTATTAAATTAACTCCAATTTTTATGTTAATATAAATTCATTTAGCTCGTGTGTGTGTGTGGTTCGATAACTTTATTTGTCATTTTATATATCATGTTATTGTAAATAATGGACAATAATGTCTTAGTAGATGTCACTGTATGAAAACAAACGTCGGGGATGCGAAATATATTTCTTTGAGTCAGCGCATGACTTTGAACCAGTGTTTCCATTTGCGTTCGTTCGGAAGGTTCGTCTGAAAAGCAACTTAGTCGTAATTTTTGCGAATATAATTTCAGTGTTTCAAAATCGCATATCGTATAGTAAAAGAAGTTTCACGGGATTTCTCTAAAGTCAGTAAACAGTAAAACAATTTTGTGTAAAAGTAATTATATATATAAACTCATCATGTCAACCAAGCGCGTAATTAACAATAAAGCTTCTGGGAAACGTCTCACAATAGAAGAGAAACTTCAAATTTTAGATAAATTTGATCGTGGCATTTCAGGGAACAACATTGCCACTTGTTTTTATCTACCTCGTTCTACTGTATATAAGATACTGAACAAAAAGGATGTAATACGCGAATCAGTTAATAAAGGAATGAGCATGAAAAGAAAGTCTGTAATATCTAAATCAAAATTTAAAGAATTGGACAAACAATTACATGAATGGTGTAAAGAGAACGTACCGGGAAATGTAATTGACTACCAGCAATGTAAAAAGCTCAATCAGGAAGCATATAACATCGCAAAAAGGGTTAAGGAATTACCAAACCAAATGAATTCTTTCATGTACGATTTTAGAAAACGTTACGACATTAAAGTAAAGCCCAAAAATTCTTATTTAATTTTGGACGAAAAATTGTATAAATGGTATGAAGAGCGGAAAGCATCAGGAGACACAATTGACTCGGAGCAACTTCGTATGGAAGCATGTAACATTCCAAAAGATGTTGATGGACCGTCAA